CGATTCAGCCGCTGGTCAGTTTCAGCTCCAATGGTCAGGCTGCCCATCAGGAGTGCCGGACCATCAGATGCCGGACCAATGGAGTTTTACTGTATATGGAAAAGGTTACTCACTGTATAGATGAGCGTTTCTCAACCAGTGGTACAAGTACCCTTAGGGGTTCTCAAGAGAAGTCTGGGGGGTACATCAAAACAACTGACATATGGGCTACGTCTACACTGGCCCCTATTCCGTAATAGGGATGCAAATGTAGCACTTGGGAATAGGCAAATCCGCGGGGGATTTAAATATCCCCCGTGGCATTTGCATTTTCATGGCTGCCGCTTTTTTCCGGCTTGTAGATAAGCCGGAGAAAAGCGCCAGTCTGGACGCGATCCTCCGGAAAATAAGCTCTTTTCCAGAGGATCTCTTATTCCTACTTGAAAGTAGGAGGACGGGTGGTGCATGGCTCCAGCCTTTCTAGCCCCAGAGCACTGGGAGGGAGAAGGATGCCTGGCCCCAGCCTCCCTGGCCCCAAGGCACAAAGGGCGGGTGCTGGGGGCAGCCACACTCCTCCCCCAGAATGCCTACAGTCGGTGTTCTAGGGTGCAGGGTCGGTGGGGCCTGGCTGGCGGATTGGGAAGACAAAGCCTTCCCCTGCCTAGCACGCAGGCTGCTTATGCTCCCCCTTGTGCTCTGGGCAATGGAAAGCACATTAAATAGGGACAGATGACTGTGAATAATTCCCTGAGTCTCTCTCTTTAGACAGGAGCTCACCAGCCTTCTTGGATTTCTTGTCAAAGGCCCTCTCGATGCAGTTCAGAAGGTCATTCAGAAGGTCCAGGGTCTCTGCCGGAGTCTGTGTGGTGCAAAAGAGAAGCTCAGAGAGAAGCCAGGCAGTCAATCCCTTCTCCCAATGCAAGTGCAATGGCAACTCAAGAAATGTACCCATCTCGGCTCCTGAATTCAGCACAACGTACCATTAGGGTGCTAGGCACACAGGCACGTCGGGGTTGTCACCTCAACCATGTGAGTGAGGGGGGATAAAAGGCGGGAGTTACCAAGACGAGCTAGGACTTTAATCTGACGAAGTGGGTCTTTGCCCACGAAAGCTTATGCTCCAACAGTTCAGTTAGTCTCTCAGGTGCCACAGGACTCCTCGCCGCTTTTGCAGATTCAGACTAACACGGCTCCCCCGCTGATACTGGACTAGCTAGGAACCTCCTGGGCCCAAGCCTTCAGGGCTGTGCAGACCTTTAGGAAAGTGCCACGAAGAGACAGGAGGCAAGTCTCAGGGAAGGAAGGGAGCTCAACACCTCTGAGGAAGCGCCCAACACTCCCTCCCCAAGGAAGAAGAAATGGCTTTTTGTACATAGAACAATTCTGCAAGAAGAGCCTGGTTTAAAGGCCCTCTCTTTCCAGGCACTAACCGCCCTCCATTTTTTTATAATTATACACAGAGGGGAGGGCAGGCACCACTCCATCGCACACCTGAGCTGGAGACCATGCAAAGCTGGTGCCCAAGGTGAGAAATAAAAGAGAAGGGATTTTCTGGGTGTTTTCTATTACAATTCCTATTTTAACAAGGTGCCAATCCCAAAGGGGAGCGTTAGAATGTAGCAACGTATTTTTTGATGCTCTGTACATTTTAAATGAGGACTCTAACAGGCAGGCCTCAAATCCCCACTGTATTAATGACTTTGCTTGCGTAGAATACCCCTCCCCAAGGGATCTCCAAGCATTTGCAGACATTAATCGGTCAGCTACCCCAACATCCCAAAGGCGGCAGCAACAGCACCCCACTTAGGGGCAAAGGTACATGACTTGCCACAGTCACAGCAAACAGGATGGTGAGCTGGGACTGAAAAACCAGGACTCCACCTCCCACTCAATCACGTTCACTCCCTTTCTAACAGCCACGTGCATTTCCTTTGTGGGTCGAAAGCTCAACACTTGTGATTGGTATTTGACTCCTGTCCCTTCATTTAAACAGCCAGAAATTCTGATGAATCATAGCTTGTCAATCACACAGCTACTGTCCAACTGTTTGTGCCAGCAGTTCAGAAAACCCAGGATGGTTTATACAGCTCAGGATACACTGCGCCAATTACCTTGAACAGATGAATGCCCACTAAGAGCAAAAGGTGCTGGAAAGCAACGATTTCCATATTATGGGATTTGTCTTTCTTCTGCAGGTTCTCCAGAGACTGCAGCATTCTGAAGAGACAAACAGGATAAAATCCACATCATCTCAGACAAGAGCAAGAGCTTCCGAAAACCAGTGCAGGAGCCAGCAAGATCAACTGCACCACGGCAGAGGCAATGTAACTAGACCAGAATCACATCAACGCGCGCAGGAAAGCACAGGGCTTTGACTAAGAATTGGCAGACGCAGATAAATTCACTTTCATATTTGAAACAGCACAGGTGTGTCTGTAGGACAAAGCACAGATCCCCCAGCAGATTTCAGAGGAATACATCACAACAGCATAATCATTTCGAGTGGAATGCGTTCAGAACAGTCATATGGGAGCTGGTGGAACTGGCCTTTCTGGAGAAAAGATTAAAAGAGAAATCCAGGCTGGGAAAGCATTCACTAACAGGAATGCAAAGGCATATAATATGGCCATCAACAAGTATCTGAAAGGTGGAAGGAGCAAGAGGGAGAGTTTGAGTTGGGGCAAGACAGGGTGGATTTAAAAAAATGATTTTTTTAAGTCAATGTTTTTAATTTAAATTGGATTTTAAAACATTTTAATCAATAAAATACTAAATTTCTCATTTAAAAATAACAGTAACTGTTAAATCTCATCACGAACATGGTATTCCTACAGGAACAGCCTTATAAAAATGAACTGATGTTTCTAGTCTGTCCAGCCTAACAACCAGCTCTTGGGGCCTTGAAAGTTCTGGGCTTTCCATTTCTGTGAGTCCGCCGAAACGCACATGCAAACACAGACACGGGCGGGATAGGACTGTTTTTGTTCTGTGCTTATGTGGTGGGGAATCTTTTCAAGAAATTCCTTCCCTGGGTAAAAAAGGAAAACGTGTCAAGTGTAAGCAGAGCAAGAAGAAGATGCAGAGCCTCACTGCAACAATGAAACATCAAAAGGAAAACTGCCTATTGGGAGAAAATGACATGGCTATCTCTGAAGAACAATGGGAACCAACTTTGCAATGTATCCTTCAAGACTCTCTCTATGCCTTTTACTAGAAGTGCGGTTTAACGAGTAAATTCCCCAAGCTGTTCTCTATGTTGGATATTGTTAGGAAAAAAAGTTTAATTTAGCTAATCTTCATGGCTTGTTTAATTAGTTAACTAAGTTTAGAATCTATCACCCAACTATACGGCAGAGAAAGCTGCACTAATAGCAATCTAGAGTTGCCAGTGGCCGTTGGAATTTTACATAATGACATATTACATAAAACATGCCTCTTATTTTGGAACATCATGACCACAGACCATAATGGTGATGCCATAAGCCTGTTCCCTATTTTACTTCAGCATAACTCAGCTTTCCCAAAGGAACCCCCATCCTATTCTTGTTTTCAATGGGACTTCCTCCAAAATTAAGCACACTCTAAGCACAGTCAGTCTTAGCTTTTTTAGTAACTTGGAACCAGATCTGCATCAAAATGACAGTGGACGTAGGAAAGATGAGAGCTTGTTCTAGAAGTTTTAAGGAGAGCACACAGTTAGTGTTCTGAGGACTTGTTTGTCAGAGTTAATAACATTTGAATTTTTTTTTTTTTTAAGAGTTTAAGGACAGACGTCAGCCAGCAACCCAGGAAACTGCTCAATCGCAAATGTGAAATATGCAAGTAAGAGTTAAGATTTAGTTTAATAACATGCAAGTGCCGTTGTGTTTGTGTGTGTGAGAGTTAACTCTTACCATTCCTAAAGTGCTGCTGCTACATCTGCAACTTGGTACAGGTAATGAGTATTATGTACTATTTCCTAAATGAACAAAAATCTAAACAATTAAACAAAATATACCCTCTTAGATTATGTAAACTGTTGACTAGAGCTGTAAATTAACATGTTTTAGTGGCCAGATTTGCACTATTGTTTGTAGAAATAGTCGAAGTAGGTATCAACGTGAAATTGTATTTAAATCAATGATTTTTTTTCGATTATTTAAATCCATGATTTAAACGGTCTTGATTTAAGGCAATCCACCCTGGTGCAAGGGAGTCTGGCGAGGAGAAAAAAAGGGGTGAAGTAAAAGGGAAAACACAGGCAGGATTTCAGGCACAACTTCTACAGACTAACAAAACATCAAGGATGGGTCTCCAGAGGAAGGAAAGGAACAGAACTGTGCTGCTTAGGACAATTCACTCACACTAGACATAGTACAGCACAGGGAACCATCATGCACTGACCAAGACAACAAACTAGGTGCCCCCAGAAGGCTTATCGCTGTTAACATCGAAGATGCACACGCAGCAGAGACTAAATAGGCAGATACAGGCTGCTTCACCCAGCGTGCAGGAGCTGCTTTTTCAGTCAGGCAGCTGCCATTGTCTCCTGTTAAATGCCTGGACGACTCCAGTCTAGAGAAATCAGCTGTTCTACCATGATCTGACCCAAACAGAGGCCTCGCTCACAGCCTTGGAGGCACCTCTAGAAGGGTCCTGGCAAACCAACACGTTCAAGGAGCACTTTTTACTCGGGCTGTCAATTAGTTGCTGCATTTACACCCGCAATTAACGCAGGGCAGAATGAACGCGTTAAAAAAATTAACTCGCGTTAATCGCAGAGGTCGGCAAACCAGCATGAGCTGCTGCAGGGGCCGTCTCTGGTAAGGTGCAGTAATATAAACACGGAAAAATGAAGCAGCCAAAAAGGAGGGGAAAAAAACTGAAGCCGTGGTTCCAGCTCCAACGGAGAAGTAAATAAGAAAAGTAAAGACCTTGACACCCATCCCTCTCCCCGCCCAGGTGACCACATTTAAAAAAAAATAGCTGGGGGGAGGGGGAGCAGATAGACCAACCTGTTCCCCCATCCCCGGCAGGGCTCACCCAAGCTAACTTCTCTTTGCCTCCTGGGGCTGGGACTAACCCTCCCCCGACATCAGATTCTGGGGCTGAGTCCCCCACCTCCCGAACTCTTCACTGCGCATGGTGGGGTTTACCCCACCCCATCTCCTGAGCTTGGGGGCTGACCCCCACCCCTGAGCCCTATGACACCTGCAGTCAGGGACTGAGCCTCTCCCTCCGAACTCTGCACAGCAGAGTCTACCCCGTTCCGGCCCAGTGCCGCCCGCAGCTGGGGCTGAGCTAAAAAAGGACTCTTTTGAATAGGACACAAATATATAGATTTTATAGAAGAATTTAAGTTCAGCTTTCATGATAGAATTTGCACTACAATACTGCAGTGAGGTGAACTGAAGTGGTTGTTTTTTTTATGGTGTAAATGTTTTGTAATAAGAAATAAATATAAAGTGAGCACTATACACTTGTATTCTGTGTGGTAATCGAAATCAATATATTAGAAGATGTAGAAAACATCCACAAATATTTAAATAGATAGTATTCTGACGACTGTTCTGCAGTAGGATTAATTGCACAATTATTCACAATTAATTTTTTTAATGGCACGATTAATAGCGGTTTTCTTTCATCGTGCAATTAATTTTTTTAATCGCTTGACAGCCCTACTTTCTACCCCAATTTCTTGCATTCCTCTATGGAGCCTAGACTTCCTGCATGCCTCAGCCATTCCCATTATCCTTCCTCATCCCCACAACGAGTCACCACACTTCAGATGGCCTCCCAAGCCTCTTACCGGTCCCAAGCAGCCCTCTGTTCGGCGGTGAAAGGAGTCACAGCCTTGACGTGCTTCCCATGGGACAGGAGGGTGCTGGCGTACTGGAGAATGAGGTAGAGCCACAGGCTCCTGTCTGCAGTCACCCCATGGACGTGCTTTTCCCTCAGGGCGGCAGCTTCCGCCGTGTCCCCCAGCACAGGCAGATTGTTTAAAATCTGAAGCAAACTGAAAAGCAAGCGGATAGCAGAGAGAACCACGTTAAATGGAAATCTGCGGCTGTTAGCATGGGTCTCAGTGCTGTAGTAACCCTGTAACTTTCTAGTTACGTACTAGCACCCCTCTGTACACGATTTATTCCGCCATCTGTTCCCAACACCACAATGGCTGGGATGAGGGAGAGGAACCAGTCTCCAAACACGGCTCCATCGTTCTAGTCCTTTCCTGGTAGGAATAGATGTATTGGAATTTATCACATCTGTTTGCAAACTTTTTGCTTCCATGACCCAAAATGTAGGAACAATTCTCTCCTGAGACCCCATTTATACTAGCAGAGCTTCCAAAGACCCCCCAAGCAAGAGCAGCTGTACCAAGGGCTGTCCGAACATGAAGTCAGACTGAGTCCCTGCCCTGAAGGACTTACAGTCTAAAGCATGGGTTCCCAAACTGGGGGGCATGAAGAAATTCCAGGGGGGGCATGAGGCAACCCAACCCCCTCCCCCCGAAATTTTGTTGCTATTTCTGTTTTTTGGCCCCCGATCAGTTCCTTTTTTTTTTTTTTTTTGCTCAATGAGTTTTGCTGCTTTTTTTTGAGGGGGGGCGTGATGCCAAAAAGTTTGGGAACCACTGGTCTAAACAGACAGGACAGAAATCCCCGTTTTACAAATGGAGAACTGAGATGCAGGGGAGATGAAGAACCTTGCCCAAAGCCACCTAGGAAGTCTGCGGCAGAACTGGGAATCCCACCTCTAAGTCCAGTGTCTTATAACCAGCAGGCCATCCCTCCCGGAGCTCTATCCCACCGCGCCTCGCAGGAGTCTTTGCAAAGTGACAGCTCTCCTCAATGCCTCCCCGCTTCTCCCAACATCCAACAGAGGGGCACTTGAGCACCCGGCCTCTTGGTTGCCTGACAGAGGAGCATCAGATGCAGCAACATTGCAGAGACCAATACTCTATTTGTTTTGCTCAAGAACAGGAAGGGTGAGTGGAGCGCCAATCGGCAGGCCTCAAAACCAGTGCCCTTCTGCTCATCCAAACTGGCGCAGGGGCAACTGGGAGGGAGGGGGAAGATCCAAAACTTGCCTGTAACTGGGCAGTCAGCTGAACCGATACTTCTCTCAACTAAATGGGGCTAGATCTGGAACACACTGTGGATTCAGGTAACTGGGCTGTCTGGCTCAAGGAAGCCTGTATCACCGGAATTATTCTACACCGTTCAGAGGCAATGGAGAACAGCCACATAACGCTCCCAGGCCCTGCGGTGTCACCACAAAAGCCCCCGTCCCTGGAAAGGATAAACAGTGCCCCCCTCAGGCAATACTGCTCAGTCCACGGGGCCAAATGGAAACTAGAGGAGAAAGGCAAACTGGCCTCACCTCAGCACTGCCAAGATACGCTTTGGGCCAGCTATTTTGTTAAGAAGCAGCTTAAGCATTTCCAGGAAGTTTTACCCAAGAACTCTAAGGAAAAGGTCACAGAGGCACACGACACTTAATGCAACAGAAGTGCAGAAACCCCACTTTCTTGTCGCGTGCCTGGTAGGGCCAGAGGTACCCAAAACAGGGACTGTCAAACTACAGGAGAGGGGCCAATAGCAGGTCCAGCCACCTGCCACAGCCCTCTGCCCAGTACTCTTGGACCCACAATTGTGCAGGGGACACAGTGCACCCACAACTGGGGGCACTAGGACACGGCAAGGCCTTCCCCCCACACCAGGGGAGCCAGATGGAGCTGGAACCTCAGGACTTTCCAGTCAGAAATCGAGACAGTTCTGGCTGCCTGAGCCCTGTGCTGATGGGCTGCTGGTACCAACCTCCCCCTCCCTTCTCACCTCAGCTTCACTCTACACCTGCCCTCCCCCTCGCCCCTATTCAGCTCACTCACTCCTAAGCACCCACCCCACCAAAAAATTGTGCACTTAACCTGGTTACCGCCATCCCATTGCTCACGCTGCTTGTGTGTCCTATCCCTTCCCTGACCCCGCATCTGTCTCGTCTCAAGACGTTATCGTTTCGTTGTTTCCTTGAACCAAGGCTTTGTCTACACTGAAAAGTCTGAAGTGCAGCTGCGGCAGCAGCGCTTTAAACGGAACGCGTGGCCACCACCTCCGTGAGGGAAGCAGTTAGCAGCATGGGAAGCGAAGCTCCCAGCACTGTAGCCCTGTTAACACTTGACAGCGCTGTAAATTGTCTTGCGTGGGGGCGGGGAGGGAGGAGAAGGGAATGTTCAGATCCCTGAGCCAGAAAGTTGCAGCGCTGTCAAGAGCCAGTGTAGACTTAGCCTTCAACTGTAAGTTCCTTGGGGGCAGAGACCATCTTTTTGTTCTGCGTTTGCACCTATCCCCATGGGGCACACAACACGTAGGCGCCACGGACAACACAAACAATACACAATAACATGTCCCTTCTAGAGAAAAGGAACATCAGCTTCCAACATTAAATGCCCCCAGGCAAAGTCCATACCTGAAAAACAAGTTGGCGACCGTTGAGTGAGACTGTCCATCCAGAGGCACTGAGGGGAGGGATTCTGTCTCTGGTATTTCAGAGGTTGGTTTCTTGGTCTCAAAGAAAGCATGGAAGAAGCAAAACCTAGAAGGGGGGAAGAGAGCAGACTAAAGAGCTGCCTTGGGTTCTGTGTGCCTTTATAAAAAGCACATTCAATTCTGTAAACAGCATGTACTTCTCTAGCATTTCTCATACAAGCACTTCACATTAATTTTCATTCATTAATTTTCATCAATTCTACTGGACCCTTCCCAAGTGCTTGAAGTTAATGGGAGAGGAGGGTGCTTAGTACATTGGAGAAGGGTTTTAACACCCTGCAACATCATTTTTATTACTATTGGGCGCCATGCCCTCCTGCTCACTATGCTCGCCAGCCCCCCTTGTCTCTGGGGGTAAGCAGGACCGGCTCTCTCCCTGGCCACCAGGGAGGGTCGGGCCCACTCAGCCCTGGCCTCTCAGGTCTCCACCGGCCTCTTGGCCCCACTCCTACCCCGCTGCAGCCAACCTCTCAGCAGAGCTGCAGCAGTCTGGACCCAGCAGGAGTCGGATTCTGGACTTACTCCCACTGTGGCGCTGCAGTTTAAATGTAGCAGGCGCTGGGCTGCAGGCACACCCGGCTCCTAAAACATTTAAACTGCAGAGCCGCAGCAGCCCCTTATCGACTAATCGTGTACTCGACACAAATTGTATTGAGTAGATGCTTAGTCATTTATCAGCTACTTAACAACCTTATTTAGTACCACTCCAGCCTTCTAGAAAGAATCATTCCGCCACTGGGTAGCACTACGTTGTTTTGTAATCCCTCTCACCTGACAATGTCCATCACCAAATCCTCTTCCTTCTTCCCCTGACTGTCAATGATGCTGACTAGCCGGGCGATAATCCATTTTCTCAGCCGGAGCACACGGTGCTGGGTCCTTTCAATAAGCAAATGGATACAGATTATAAATCACAAAAAAACATAAACAATGGATGAGACTCTGGAGACTGTGTAGACTTTCAGCAGCTCAAAGGCCTTATATAGTTAGACATCAGCTACTATGCAGCAAATTCTGACACATGCAGTAAGAAATGACAGGTGCGTGTATAAAGGTATTTTTCCTAAGCAACCTGCATTTGCTCTTCAGCTAGTTTAAATGCACTTGATGAACAAATATGAACTCAGATCAGTTCTAATCCAATATGCCTCTGTGTTCTTCCAACAACTGGTTCAAGAGCAGCAAGAATGTTCCGAGGTCTGAATAACTTCTTTCACGGGGATAATACAACATGCTGACATAATGTCTTAGCCCAGATGATCACAAAATGCTTTACAAGCCTTTGCCTACATCCAGGAGGAAGTCTCCTGCTGGAATACGACACCACAACAGTGAAGACAGCCAGACCCCTCTCCTTCACTTCATCTAAAAGTGAAAGTGCAGCTGGAATTTTAAGTCGGCAGAATAGTTACCCAAACCATCATCTGACAAATGCTCCAACTTGTCACAAAGTGCTGCACCAGTATTCCCTCTATTTTTTTCTAACCATGTGCGGAATACATTTTGTCACGTGCACCGAGCCATGTGCAGATGTGCACTACCAGTAGAAACTCATGCTGCCAGCGGTGGGTGCTCTGCTAATCAGCTGGGCAGCATTTGAATCTCTCTTCGGTGGCTGCCCAAGTGCTCAGCTTATACAGAATGCCGTGCTTCCCCCATGGCAAATCAGGATCTAAGTTTTACATCTCAGTTGGAAGAGACACTCTGAGCTAATGAAGTGCCTTCTAGCACCAGGCTGGGGTAGTAGCACAGCAGTGACTCAGTGAGAAAGACCACCTCTGGAGAGTCACCAGCCCCCTGGCTTGGTTTCCCCAGGAATACGTCCAAAGAGGAAACTTCTAAGGTTTCCCAATAAAGATAAAGGGAGCAGAAAACACAAGCTGTTGACGTAGGACCACCTAACAGTCCTACTGGGTATCAGCTGTTGAAGACCCCCCCACATCACCCCTAGGACAAGCAACCAGAGCTAAACACAGGAAAATGCATCCAGTACAGATCCGAGAGAGAAGACAAAGTTGTACAAGCAGACTTACAGATTTGCTTTCTCTTGGTTCTGCTTTTGCCGACTGGTGGTGAAATCTAAGCAGCAGTCAAAATCTGGTCTAAGGAACATTCTCTTGAGCCAGTTGACATATTTCAGCAGCGTTTCAGGCTGCAAGTGTTTCACCACCTTCCAGAAGCTGGGCACAACCGGATAGCCTTGATTGGTCAGAGTGGAGAAGCCAACCATTACTGCCAGCTGCTTCTCTGGATCATCACAGCCCTCGAGGAATGAGTCAACGTAGGTCTCCATCTCTGGAGCGAACTTAAACCGGTCTGGTAGCTGAAAGGCACAGGCAGCACAAAGCAGGTTACAACCCATCATACTGCACAATGAAGACAAAAAAACCAGGCACACTGAAGTCACTGTACACAACTGACCTTACTCTGTGTGTGTGCTTGGTACAATAAATCCCGGGTCTGAACAGCTATTGAGGCAGTACAAATACTCCAGGCCCCCATAACCCACTCACCCTTTCAGTGGTCAGGTCAGCGCTCTATGCTAGCTTGAGGTCTTATCCGATATCGGTAAATCATAAAGTGCTGGACAATGAGCTCACAGTTCCCCTTTTACAGGCAGGGAAGCTGAGGCACAAGGAAGAGAAGTGACTTACACAATGTCACCCAAGAGGCTAGTGGCCAAGCTGAGAATATAGCTCAGGTCTCCTGGGGCTCAGGGAAGTGCTCTATCTACTAGACAAAACTGCCTCACCTACCAGCAATGGCGACTTGCATGCTTCATCCTGCCACTGAGGTTGAATTCGCCAAACCTTAATCTCAAATTACCAGTTGTCCTCCCTCCCTGGTAGATTAGATTCTGCTTCATCCTGCCACTGAGGTTGAATTCACCAAACCTTAATCTCAAATTACCAGCAGTCCTCCCTCCCTGGTAGATTAGATTCCTCATTGGTTTATATGGGTGAAATCTTAAGAACCATCAACTGGGCAGTATTGGCCAAAAAGTTTATCAGGACCAATGTGGCTCCCTGCAGCAGAAACCCAGCACATGAAAATGTATCATGTGACCTGTTCTCCTAGGCTCTCTGAAACCTGCACAGATCAAGTGCTTCAAATTTTGAGTCTGGGAATGCTGTAAATGTGGCCACAGAGTGCTGAGATCTGCACAAGATCCCAGACTCTCTATATACACTAGAACAATACCGATGGCAATCTGCTACAGTTAGACCTAGCCCAGCAACACCAGACACATTGGCTACGACTAGACTGGCATGATTTTCCGGAAATGCTTTAAACGGAAAAGTTTTCCATTAAAAGCATTTTCAGAACAGAGCGTCTAGATTGGCACGGACACTTTTCCGCAAAAAAGCCCCGATCGCCATTTTCGCGATCGGGGCTTTTATTGCGGAAAACAAATCTGAGCTGTCTACACTGGCCCTTTTGAGCAAAAGTTTTGCGCAAAAGGGACTTTTGCCCGAACGGGAGCAGCATAGTATTTCCGCAAGAAGCACTGATTTCTTACAGTAGGAAGTCAGTGCTTTTGCAGAAATTCAAGTGGCCAGTGTAGACAGCTGGCAAGTTTTTCCGGAAAAGCGGCTGATTTTCCGGAAAAACTGGCCAGTCTAGACACAGCCATTAATTTAAACTTAAAAAACAAGAAATGGTCTGGTAGCACTTTCTAGACTAACAAAACATGTAGATGGTATCATGAGCTTTTGTGGGCACAGCCCACTTCTTCAAATGACCGGAGTTCTGAGTTTAGGATGTGCAGACCCAAACTAAATGGGGGGAAGGGAGGAATGAGGAGCAGAGGGTATGCAAATATCAAAGGGAAAAACAGGAAGGCAGAACTGGGAATCAGAAGGCACCTGAAGACTGGGTAGTTAAAATGAAGCAGATAAGAATGAAAGACAATAACAGGAATCTACACAAAGAGCTGTTTGCACCCTCATTGAATGCTAGGTTGATAGTGTCCCAACCATCCCTGATCACGATTAAGGCCATTAGCATGAGAATTGAACTTGCGGGTGAATTGTAATTCCAACGCCCCTCTACGCATTTGGCTAGTAGAAATGGTTTGTGACAAGACAGCCACTTGAAGATTTTTTAACAGTGATTAGGTAGATTAAAGTGTTCCCCAACAGGTTTCTGTATGTTCCCTTTATGTATATCTGATTGGTGTCCATTGATTCTTTCCCATAGGGACTGTCCAGTTTGTCCAATATATATAGCAGTGGGGCAGTTGACAGAAGGATCCCATTTTCCAAACAGTCCTTTACAACGTATGGCATTTCGACTCCGTTATACGCTTATCCCTACTCACTCATCTGTGCTGTGAAGAGAATGGAAATCTATCTGGAGAAAGCTTGAAGGGGAAAAGAACCGCAACTCCATCCCAACCATATAATGCAGCTTTTCTAAGTGAATTAAACTAACTATTTTAAGAAATGTCAGGATCAATGCAAGGATATGAAGGAAGTTGGAGCTCTAATGAAATTTAAAGACTGAATGTTCCCAAGATTAGAAAGTCAGTAAATATCACAGGTAATTAATCTGCCTCCACGGCCATTTGGCCAGAAGACACATACCCGAGAAAGATGTTGTCTGCACTGCACAACTGAATGCCATTTGCATTCTATTGGTCAGCTCATGTTAGTACTGTCCAAAATCAGCAGACCCACCCTGATTAAACAAAGTCAAATGTGCTCATTTTACAAGTAGAAAAAACAAAAAAAACAAACGGATTGATGTGTTTTTAGGAACAGGGGAATGATCAAACCTGCACACAGTCGGCAACAGCCTGCACCGGTGACTTGTAGGAAAGTGTAAGAAACTAGCAATAGCTTCCCCAAATTCCAACCCTGGTAATTTAACCCGGAACTAGAGGCTCAAACTAGTCATAACGGTGCTGCTGGTTAAATTAATTAGCATTTATTTCTATGCCTTCAAAATTAGGCTTTCCATGTCATCTGTAGAATCCCATGGCATTGCAAGGATGACGGATCGGAATTTAGTAAACAAGTCTCCTGATGCACCAAGAGGAACAGAACTCAGTTCTCCTCTCACAGCAGTGCTGATTTTGCAGGACTAATAGGAGCAAGATGTACTACAATGGTAAGTCTGCAGATATTAAGAGAAAAAAAGAGCAAGAAGGTGCCAGTGCTGCCCTTCCCTGAAAACTACAACTGCGTTTCAGCTGCTGCTGTGATGCCAGAAATGGGCGCTTGGAATACTTGTTTGCCCCCCAAAAAGAAGAGAGTAATGATCACTGTGTCCACAGCAAAAGGCAACAGGACTGTGTTAGCCCACGGAGCCTAGACAGTGCCTTTTTTTGGTAAGTTCCCCCACACAACGTAAAATGGCTATTTTAGTTTTCTTGGAGCCAGTGACAAATGTTACAGTGAATTCCCAAATGAAACCCACCTCCAATCAGATTATTTAACAATTTCATGGGAAACTACTGACACAGCAGCTCCCAAACTATGGGCTCTGGCCCCAGTGGGGTCACGCCATCATCACATGGGGCCACGCAATCCCGTGTGTGCAGAGGACACCATATCGCTTGGCGCAGCATCATATCACATGTCTGGTGGGTGAGAGGTCACAATGCACAGAGAATGCAAAGGGGAGTCCTCTATGCAGTATGACCTCACACTTACAGTACTGGCAAAGCCACACTGGGTGGAGGATACTATTTTGTGCTACAAAATGACAACCTCCAGGCTGCACACACACGTGTGCTGTCTGGGGTGCTGAGAGCAAATTAATTAAAACAGGGTCATGCCAACAAAGCGTGTAGGAACTCAACTTAAAAGCGTCCATTATACTTACAGTGAACACTGCCTTAAACTACACAAGTGCTAACAACGCTGTACTGCAGGCATGGCCAACCCATCCTGGACGAAGAGCCAAGATATGAGTGGATTCAGTGCAAAGAGCAGAGGCAAAGTTGTAGAGGGGGGGGGGAAAAAAAAAGCCTGCCCCTTTCTAAGCTTTTTGTCCTCAGCAGGCTCCCGCCAGCCACTACCGTATTGGAAGTACCATATTTCAAGCACAGGACGGCTCCCCTGCCCAGGTGAGCACAGGGGAGCGGGGAGCCGCTGTAAGGGATGACGGGGCAGCCACGGCTGTTGTAGTGGGATACTTGAAAATGGCTGTATCTCGTAGGGTCTGCACTTGGGTATGGGGTCTTTGGCACGGGTTGCATCAAATCCTCTCAGGGATGCCTACCTGAGCCGATACCACATGCTCCCCGTAGTGCCGCATCACTTCCCCTCGGAGAACTATCGGCAGCTGATCCAGAGACAAGAGCGGGAGAGCACTGCCCAGCAACCGGTAGCACATGTAACTGAGTGGAAAGAGAACAGATTCCCACAGGGAAGGACACAGTTGTAACATCACACGCAAGGACAGGGCAGAGAAAGAACATTTTGTGTACGTCACAGAGACGCAAAATAATGGCAGCCATCAGGACTACAGGGACACTTACAAAACTTGCCCACCTGAGAATGCGAGGCTGGCAAAGAATGGCACGTCAGAGCATGACATCAGCATCTCCTGGGGAGCCCCCTACCACTCCTGCACAGACCGGCTCCCACCTGCAGCCAAGGGCTGCTGCCTCCCAAACAGCAGA